TTCATTTGTAATCAGTTTATTATTTCTTCCAATCATTAGCACAAAATATCAATTATTAGTGTCACCTGAAGTATAACATACTCAAGTGAATGCTGGAAAAATAAATAGTTCTATCATATATTTATCTGAAGTCTTGTCGAAGTCAGAATTCTTTAGCTCGATGAGATTAGAGAAGCAGATCCTCTTTTAATGTCCAGTTTCTTCCAAAATAGAAACAACATTAATCATTTAGACCATTTCTTGATTTCTGGGTTTGTGTTGTATATCCCTTGACTGAAAAATAATTCTATTTCTGTACACAATCTCTTAGATCTTCCTTTATTCAATGGTTGAACATATTTGAAGCACTTTCTATTGTTCTGATTGAATATCTGCTTTACTTGATGATACATCTGACATGTTTCATAATTATCCAAGACTTTCTGTAAGTCAAGGTCAATTACTCTAGTATGATGTGAGACACATCAATATTATCACACTAATACTTCCATCAAAGTATCATGATCAGACTGACTGGTTTGAAGAGGTTGTTCAAGTATGGGATATTTCATTATATATAATTTCTCTTTATTCTTAAGGTAAGAACCTCAAGATGTTATACTAGTTATAGAAATTATAATCATCAAATGTTACTGTCTCTTGAAACTCAACAAGAGAGAGGTTTTATGTGGCATAAGAGTATTGACAATTATTAATAGAATTTAACAAAGTTTCATTTGGTATTTTCAATATTAAGTCTTTAAAAATTAATACCTTTTATTGTTTCTTAAAAAATTAATTTACTAAATTCTAGGATCCAAGTAACGAAACAAGTAAATGGTTAGGTGACCTTTATCTCATTAACTTAATCAAACTCACTAGGTAGTACCAATTGCATACAATATGTAACTCCTAGATTGTGGGATCTTAAACAACTATTGCTTTCCTAAACAACTATTGCTTAACTTGGCATGTTCATCCTATCTATGCCTCATAACTTTTATGCTTAGGTGACCTTTATCACACAAGATTATGATCGAGTCATCCTACTTGAAACAGTTTGTAGTATTACAACTAACCAGTGACAAGGTGACCCTTTAGACACTAGAAACTACAATACTACCCCGAACACCCTAAGACAATCCTAATGACCACGTGACTCTATGACAGGAAGACCATACAAATGATACCGAGTGTTCTTCAAAAGGACGATAATGACTAGCATTTTTAGAAAAGGTTTTATGTTTTTACAGTTACAATTTATAAAAACATGGTCTCATGAATATTGCATGCATCCAACAATTCAAGTACTCTTTTGTAAAATTCATACCACTTGTTATGAGGTTATTTAGGTGCCAAATAATACTTCATTTATTTTCCATTAGTTGCAATCAATTATAAACTAAAATCCGACATTTTAAAGTTTAGTCGTAGATCGGTTTTAGGAACCGGTAATAGTCTTAATAAAACATCATTTTATATTTAAGACTTTAAGTTTTGGATGAGTTCTAAAATCACAATTTTAAATCTCCTTTTAATAATCAAAATCTTATGACTTCATGAATTTTTAAAATAAACTCATTTTATTTTATAAACTCAATTTTATGCATCTTATGATAAAACTCATATTTTGATAAACCAAAACATGAATGATACTTATGTTTTAAATCTCATTTGGCATGCATAAAACATAATATTAACATGTTGAGTTATGTTTAAAATACTAATATCATATATTAAGTTTTGACGCAAAAATTAATCACTAGTTTTATTATTTGTTGTTATAACGCTATAAACCGATTTTAATCTTTATAATAAAAACTCATTATTTATTATAAAGACATTGAGTTTATATAACATTGTATTTTAAACCATTTCAAATATTTTAAAGTTGTTTATTTATAAGTTTTAAAATAAAACTATTTTTAACAAAAAAAATCCATTTTAACCTGTAACCGATAAAAACGTTTTTATAAATATCCATTTATAAACATCTTATGTTATCTTTTAAATATTTTTTACTCAAACTCCAAGTGATAGTATCTTATGTTAAAATGTTTTTGACATGTAAAACTCATTTCATACAAAAAACATAACACACAATAACATAAAAATAAACATCACATGCATACATTTTAATGTGTATAAACCATGCCATGTCTAGTAATAATTTTTGTGAGTCATCACACGAATTATTAAGCATTTTCTAAAGGACTTAAGAGACACTTAAAAAGGTCTTCAAGCTCCCACTTGCCAAGTCAAGTCTTGCTTGCAAAAGGACTTCAATATTCATGTTGTAAAGGTTGTTGCACTTAAACCATTAAGACTATAATTAAGCCCAAAACCAAAAGTAGAAGCTCATGGTTGGGATTATGGTCTCAAATGGTTAAGTCACCTTAAAAATGGTCATCTCTTCATCTTATTACATTTAAAATAAAACAACCAGTTTAACTAATTTATTACTACAGACCAACAAATGAAAAAAATACGTATTTATCTATTACATCTTATGAATAAATAAATATCAACCAACAACAACATAAAGGTCCAAATGTATTGTTTATACACAACAACATATCAAATATAATAACAAAAAACTCTTTATTTTTTCGAAGGAAACTTTTATATAACCAAATGCATGAAAAATGGTTATATTTAAAAATAAACAATTTTAACCAAGAAGTTGTCAAATAAATCAAATATAAATTTTTCTTAACCAAAAGAAATTCATGCTTGTTTTCCAAAAACCAAATATTATCAAACATAAAAAACCATTCTAACAAATAAAAAATGGGTTTGATACCACTGATGGATTTTGATATAAAATATAAGTTTGTTTTTCACAAAAACCATAACGGAAGTCTTATAAAAATAATAAGTGTATTTTTAATTTACAACAAAACCAAACCATCAATGGCTTATTTATAGAGATTAGAATGAAATAAAAACAACCAAAGATTTTTTAGAATGACAACCTTTGAAGTCTTTGAACCCACTTGGTTTTGGGGTGTTGATGAAGATAGAAAAATCAAAGAATATGATTTCTCTATGTGTATCCACCATCAAGAGTAATATACATGGAATGCTAGTTCCTTCTTGTATTCTTGAGTGTATTAAGCCTTTAAGTACTTAACTCAAATAAGAACTAAATTAGACAACTCAAGAGGGCGTCTAATCTTGCAACAATCTTCAAAGTACAACAAAGAGAAAGAGGTGGTTTCAGCCATAGAGAGGAATGTACAGAATTCACTAGAAAACTAGCCAAAAACTCATGCAAAGCACTCTCTTATATACCTATACAAAAGCAAAAGCAACCCCATTAAATAATACAAAGTAATCGCCTTACTTTAGAGGCATGAGAGACAAAGAAGGGAGGTTGACAAGCAACCTTTCATGCCCTTACCTAGTTTCGGCCATACCCTTCAAGAGAGAATGATTCTTTTATTTTATTATAAACTCAAAGTTTATAAAATATAAACTTTGTTCTTAGGTAAAAGACAAGAATCCAACTAGTCCAAAAGGTTGTACATGACTTATTAATTCATATCATATGAAATAATAACTAGTTATACTCTTATAATTTTTATTTTCACAAAACAATAATTATTTTGTAATTAAATACAAGAAATTATATTATTTATTAATAATCATATTAATAATAAACATACAAAATGTGTCAACTTAATGAATATGTGACCCTATAGTACAACATATCATTAACAATGTCGTTCAATAATGATTTTTAGACATATAGATTCAACAAACACTTATTTTAATCGTTTGTAAGTATAATTAATAATTTGATTTTAGTGTGAACCTGTAAATAGTCTTAGACATGTTAGGCTAGAAAGTAACTATGTAAATAGTCTTAGACATGTTAGGTCAGAAAGTAACTATAAATTTGTTAGGCTAAAAAGTAACTATGGATTTGTTGTTTGGATTTCATCTTTTATGAGGTTGATTTCTATGATTTGACATTAGATATGATTTTTTGATCTAGTATTCAAGTTTCATCTTTTATTATATTTTTTTTTGTCACAAGTACTTGTATTCTTATTTAATTCATAAATTTGTAATTGTTTTATGAATTAAAACAAATAACAAACATTGAATTAATTCTAATAAATAATTTAATTTTGTTGTAAACTTATATTAAACTTCATGAAACTTTTCAATACATTCTAGGAGTTCATATAAATTGATTTAGTAAGGTTATGTTTAGATAAAGAGTTTGTTGAAACTAGATGTTTTGATAAACAAGAAAATGCTAGGACTTGTTAATATTTCCTAATACAACTTAGATTTGAATTTAATTTGTCATCAGATCATAAAAGTAACTTGTATAATTGATGGAATGAACACAAAATATATATGATATTACTTCTTTTTGTTTCTTTCAACTACTTTTAGTGCATGTTAAAGAATTGATTAATTTATTAAACATAAAATTCATCCATTTATTTTATAATTATTTGTTTTAAGACTTGTACGTTTTATGCAAAAGGGGCATTTGATATTTGATTTGTATCATTGCAGACTCGAAGCCAACTTCTTCTATACTATCATATAGTATACACAATATTATATTATGTAACATTTTTTGCAGCCTTAATATCATTTGTTGGTTTGACAACCAAACAAACAATAAAACGAACAAGTGGTTAGTGGCTGAGTGTTAGAATTACAATGAGATTAGGGTTCGTCGGTCATTGGCCTATTGGCCTCATAGTTATTCTGTTGACTTTTAATATTAAGTTAAATATAAACTAAATATAAATATTATATTAAATGAATTGATTAGTTGAAAATTTCAATCATTCTTAATCTATTTATTTAAATATTATCTATTTATTTAATTATGTAAACATAATGCCCCATTATTATATATATTAAAGTTATGAAACTTAGCAACAGTAAAATCGCTCCTTTTTTGTCTATTTCAGTCCATGTAGTTTTCGTATTTCTGTTTAGGTTTATTTTTTCAATTTAGTACCTTAAACAGTACCTCACCAGGATACTGTTCATCGGTTACTACATACTTACGCCTTTTACTTCCGGATCCTTCCACCGTCTTCCTTTTATCTCCCACCGCTTCTTCATCTCGACCCTTCCAGCCTCTGTGAGGGTTTCTCTGCAAGAAACCCAATTTCAAGTTGCAATCTTCAACCACTCCACAAAGGAGTGATTCTCCTTCAAATCCCATCTCAAGAAGTTGTTTCTAGCACTCCCAAATCAAAACCCCAAACTATACAAAAAAATGCCTTCATCAGAGATCGAAATTTTATCAGTCTTTCACGTCTTTAGCGCTCCTGCTTATGGCGATCTGCTGAAATTGCGAAAATTCGTCGAAGATGATGTTGTTTCTCTCTCTCAACCTGATGCAAATGGCTATTACCCCCTTCAATGGGCGTCCGTCAATAACTTCCCCGATGTTGCTCAGTACATTATCGAGGTATGCTTTCATCGGTTACATCCATTCTCAAATATGGGCTACTTTTGTTGGCGATGTAGCATGGTGGGGATGTGCAGGCGGGTGACGGTGTGATGCTGACGGCGTTGCATTGGGCGGCTGTTGGTGGTTCAGTCGCAGCAGCAGCAGCAGATGTGTTGTTGCAGAATGGTGCTATTCTGTCCAACAAATACTCTTCTATTGGTTTATGAGATTTGAAACATTTGCCCACCAACTGTTTGTTAAAAGTTTTACTGATTTCTCATATTTTTTATGTCGTCTCTAACTAATACTGATCATCTATTGGTTTATGAGATTTGTTCAAACAAACAAATCAAAGAATGAAATATTGGTTTTTGTTTTTGAATCCCAGGTACTGAGGTACACTTCACTCTATGGGAAATACTCTTCAACATTAAGGGCAAATCTGTCCAACAAATACTCTTCAAACATTGGTTTTACACTGCAAGGTATGGAATTATAGATAGCTAACATTCGTCTTTGTTTTAACACTCAGTGTGAATTTAATTTCTTTTAGTTGGGTTAATCAGAATGTAGGAAATGAAGCCTTTCAGAATGGTAAGCATACAGAAGCAGTAGATCATTATAGTGTTGCAATATCAAAGAGTATACAATCACACTCATTTGCAGCTGTTTGTTTCTGCAATCATGCTGTTGCAAACCAATATTTGGGTGAAGTCATTGACGCAATTGGAGATTGGAGTATAGCTATAGCTTTTGACACAAGTTACCCAAAAGTAAAAATTCATTCGTTCTTGGAATTTCGGTTACCGACACAGAACCAAAGTACGTCTCTACAGTCCACCTTTTGTAATGGGTTAATCAGTTAATCTACACGACTAAATTTAGTTTGGAATATAAGGGTAAAATGCTCATTTACTTCCTAATCATTCTACAGAGCAATATTGTACATACCGTGCATCCAACAAAACTGAAAGCTGCAACTTGATATTTTTTTTTAGCATTTTCCATCCGTTTTGCCTCCAAACTTCCGTCAAATTATATGCTGAAAGGATGGGGGTCTGACTGCGACAAGCAAAGCGGCTCAGCAGCCCCGGCCAGAACCATTAGACCCCGACTTACAATGGATTATCGAAGGTGTTTTGATGTCGATTTCATCAAAAGGTGGTCTGATGCCGACGATTTTAAAATCGATTTCATTCTTAGGTGGCTTCATTTATTCGCTTATATTTAATAAATTTTCTATGGAATAGAAATTGACCGACATACCTACAAGGATAACTAATTCCCCCTAAATCTGCTGACCACTAATTTTTAAGTAACACACTTCAGATGTCATTTGATTTATATTTATTTTGCTTTTCAGTGAGTTTTGCTATTCGAGAACACCACCGTTATATCCCCAAAGGGATTACACAGGGCTACAGTTCCTTGCTGTGGATGAGATTTCTCTGTAAGGAATTGCAGGTCTTTATCAAGATTTTTAATAGTTTTATTACAAATGCTTTTAATAGATTTATTGCAAATACCTGTTATATTAAGAATACTGTTCGTCAGAATCTCTTCAGACATGGCGATCTGTGCAGCTGTCAAAGGAGAAACAAGGAACACAGCTGTCAAAAGAGAAACAACCAACATCCACCTCTAAGATGCACAAACAATGGATTAACGGGTTTATTTTATGATGATGGAAAAAAAATTAATCTCATCCGGCTCTAAACAGGTACATATAGAACAACTTACATCGATTTCCCTTTGATTGTTTCGTATTAAATGTATGAGTTTGTTCTCATGTGTTAGGTTGTTTCTTGGAAAACTTCCCTTTATACCCCTCAATTTGCTTCAACAACTGATACAATAAGTGAAGGGTCAGTTCTTTCTATTCGATATTCCCTACATTTAAAGCTAATAGTTGTTCAAAGATCAAAGAATGAGGTTCACTTCTGGGTTAAAGAAACTGGATAGACTTTTAGTCAAAAGTCAAAATCGGAGTCTGATTCTATTTTATGGCTCTTTCGGACAGATTGTAATTGTATTTGTCAAAACCAGGTACATTTTAAGAAGTTATTTATCAAGTGAATTGGTATAAAGATTTAAAGTGTTCAATTATAGTAGATTGGATCTTTATACTTATGTGCCAGAGTTGATATCATTTGAATTGCTGGACACAAAGATGGAATGGAATCATTTTTCATTTTTCATTTTTTCTTTTTCTTTTTTTTTTGTTCAGCTTTCAACAAGGATTTGCCATTTTTTTTTCTTTTTGTTGAAAACAAATCCATTTCTACCGATTGGTGCCAAGAACCCGTACATCAAGGATTTTCATTCTATTTCATTTTTCATTTTTTCTTTTTCGTAAGAAAACAATCCCAGTTTAAAAAACAATCGTTCTGTTGTACTTCAAGTTCGGGAGGGTTTAGTATTTTCGATGATTTCTGCATCTAAGTAACAATCAATTTCAGATTCCATTTTTTTATCCGATCCAATTTTAAAGTTTTTATTTCATACTAGACCTATCCATCCCAATCTTTAATTTATTTCATTTGTTTCTGTGTTTTTAGGTTACGCCTGGAATTGAGTAATTTTTTGGTTCGTCGATTTAAACAGGACATTGAGATACCCTATTGTACGGTCACTTAGGATTTGGTGTAGGTATGTTGGAATGTCATTTAAGTTTGTGTAATTTTACGAGGTTGCAGTCAACTTAGTGTCCAATGGGTTACTTTTTCCATTATAATTGACGAGTATTGTCACATTTTACCAAATGAGTTGGCTATTAGTTTAAGCTACAAAGGAGCAACAAAATAAGATCTGTAATCTTTTATTCTACACAGGACCTGTTATGTAAGAAAATATGTTTACACCATTTGAAGCCGAATTGCAGCTCCAAGTTGGTTCTTATTTCAAGGTTCTAGGGAACGATTTTATGCACAGGTGATATGTTGGGTGTTTTTATCTTTTTTTATTTTATTTTATTTTAAAAACAGGTGATATGTTGGGTGTTGGGTAAACATGGAACTGCAGATGGCAAATGGTGGTGAGTATAACATGTTCACTATTAATGAACACCACTTTGCTTTATGAAACATATTAATCTAAATATAACATGTTCACTATTTTTCTGTGATAAGCGATAGCTTGAACTCTCTTTGGTGGCTGTCATCTCAGTTGATCCAGATGTACTGAAGAATTGGGCTGCATTTCAGGGCATTAAGGTACTTTCAGAAGGGTTAAACTGTCAATTTTACACATAATTACACATTTGTTATTCAACATCACTTTTAAACATAAGGGTAAAACGGTCATTTACTCTAAACAGAAGGGTGAAATGGTCATTCCCTCACATAAATAGTAATTTTTTATTGAACAGATGGCTTTCTCCTATCCAGTTCGACTTTTCACCATTTTGCCCCTGGTGTTTCTTTGGTGAAATTCAACATTTCTAGAGATTACTTTGCAAAATCTATCATATTATAGCAATATCATCTAATTACAAAGCAAATTTCGTTTTAAAATTGAGTAGCTTTTTTCAAAGTGGAAGTACACTGCTATAATTAGGTTGATATTTCAAAGTACAGTACTTTAATAAGAAAAAAAAAGTATAATATCATAATAGAAATAAAAGAAAGTAGGATGTTATAACAAACATAATAAAGAAAGTTGTGTTGCTATACATCCACTTACTAATTCCGACATCGTACTTTTTGACTTAGAACGTTGTACTTTGAAAATCTACCAATTAGAGCATCCCACTTTGACTTTATGTACACACATCTAAACCAAAAACACCACCCTCCATCCCATGCAAGTCTACTTAATCATTGGGTAAATAAAAAAGCACCATCAAATATTAATTTATTAATGGGTGTTTTGTTTTTTCTTCCCTTATGCAGAATACAAGATGATGCCATGCAACTTGGCAACGCAGCTGCAAATGGTTTCCATTTTGGAGGTGGTGATGTTGTCGTTCCATCTGGCAGATTCAACTTACTTGGTTTCATAAATTTACTTTAAATAAATTTAACGATTTTATATCTTTTTCACTTTTTAACAGGGAGAGCCTTTTTAAAAAATTGCTACAAGAAGTTGATAATGTGTCTTTAAAGAGGAAACATGTTGAAGAAAGTCTCATAGCTCTTCAAGAGACCGCAAAAGTAAGTTTATTGACTTATTAAATTGTTTTCTATGTATTTACTCAAATTAATTTCAAAATTTTTCAATCAGCTATTAGATGAGTTACCAATCTAAACTGCAACAGTCTAATATTTAGATTTTAAAGTGCAATCCTATAATAGAAGGGATTAAAAGTATGTTACTATAATAAAGAAATAAATGAAAGTAAGAAACACATTCTTCCTGTTCCAAGACCAGACCCTGAAGTTTTTGCCATGCTTACTTCTAGACTTACAACTTCAATTGCTCTAGAAAAGCTTCACTTTAATTACTGAAATATTATTTTATATGAAAACAAAAAAGTAACTTTAACTCATTTCGACGTGGTAAGAAAGAAAAATGCACAATGTGAATCCCTTTCGTTGACCTGCCAACAAAAAGAAGTTGTTGGGAACATAAAATCTATATACATGGGAGTTTATAAAACAATGTTGTAAAATGATTTCTGTAATTTTGATGATTACAGACCTAGAAACACGCCATGGGTTTTGGAAAAGAAATTGTGAAGGGAGCAGATGAGTACAATGGATTCAGTTGGGTAATTGATTTTGACTTCAATCGACACTTTCTTTTTCTACCAACTCTGTCTGCCTTCTCTACTTTGTTTCTGAGATTGGAATTTGCACTTCTTATCAGCTTTGCTTACCACATGTTCGATGAAATATCTTTGAGGCATTCACAACGATTGTAACCAGCTCATAAGGTTTCTTTTTCCAGCCAGTCTTTGAATGTTAAAGAAAATATTTTTTGAAGTTTCTATTAGTTTAATATAATTATTATGAAGCAAAAAATTGGAAGTATGATGCAGGTCAAATGGAAGGCTTGCAATTTTGGGTCTCAAACCACAAGCTTACCAGCAATGGTTAGTTTAATTTATAAACTTTAACTTTTATTCAATATAATGATTGATTTGATTTTTTGAATAACCAAACTCACAAAATATAATGGAGTCTTGATAAAAACGTATATGTAGGCACAATTTGGGCAACAGCAGTGAAGAGTCGCTATTCGATTCTATTTTCAGTGTTGAAATCTTAATTTGGGGTTTTTCAACACATGTCTAAAACATTAGCAGATGGAAACCTGTCTTTGGACAAAAGAGGTAAACTTTAAACATTTGTTTCATTAACTTATAGTTTTTATTTTATATCTGACTTTCTATGTACGACTGTCGTTTTGTATAATCGTCATGGGAATATTAAAGAACATTCTATATTGTAATATGAAAACTAGCTTCCTTTTAGTATGCGTTAATTAGACTTCCTGTACCATAACACCCTTATCTTTTGGATTGGACTAGAGCACCAGCAATTATTGGTTAAAATGATGATTTGTTCTTTGTAATGTTGAAGGGTAATCTTGACATTTAATATACTTGGTTATGACTGTTAAATTTTGTTATCAGTTAGTTGTTATATAAGTCACTTATACGGTGGTTAAAGGTAGTTATAGCGGTTAAAATTAATTGTCATCTTGAAGGGTTGTGATGGTTGTAGGTTGTATATATATATATATATATTATATATATATATATATATATATATATATCAGATTTATGTAATTAGTGTCTCAATTAATAAAAAATGTTTATGTTCCTATGTTAACAAAAATCTCAACCTGCACACATATCACAGAAGAGTGTTGTATAATATATCAGCTGATACATTAAGGATGAGAGTATGAAATATATTTCTTATTGATTTTGATTTGTTAATTTTGGTTGCGGTAGCTCAAAATGATAAGGTACCCATAACATATCCTCAATTATTGATTAACATTCCCATTTTATGACCTTTCTTTTAAATATTGCATTTTATAATAACTTTGTGCTTTTATATTGAAATAGCTATTGAGTCGACTCTCTTTGCTTGCTTCCAGACAAATGGACGGATATGTTGTTAAGGTGGTCGTGGGGGGGGGGGGGGGGGGGGGGGGGGGGTTATCAAACTCTTATCAGTGCTGATATGGAGAGAAAGCTTGACCATATGGTAAATTCTTTATAAAAAAATTAAAAACAATCCAATAATTATTTAATAGTAGTTAAAAAATAAATATAATTATATTTTATTGGCTGACATGGTTTTTTGAAGCAAAAGAAGATTGGATTCATTGGTAATTATTATAAATACAAAAGATTTATTGTTAAAAATCTATAAAAAAGAAAAATAAATAATAATTATAGTTATTTATATGTATGTTAATTTTTGTTTCTCTTTTGCTTCAGGAACACTTCTTATTGAGCCCAAGGCTTTTCATACATCCTTATACAAGAAAATGTGTTATTTTCTCCTTTAAACGTTAGATCATTATGTCCTATTGTGCTTATTGTTTTCATTGATTTGCAAACCTGAAGGTATGCCATGTATCTATGTTTGTTGCTCCAGGTCCATGGTTTGGGATGTCTAATGTTTCTTACCTTAATAAATATTGAACTATCAATGAACATGGAGTGAGAACATTCTTATTTTCTGTTGGGTGTTTGATTTTTCGTTTGATTTTGTTCTCTTCTTGTTTTACGTCTTTACGTCTCACCCATATCCGTCTTCTTTCACTTTTGTAGGATAACCCAATCGATTGTTCATATTCAACATCGATCTCATCATTCTCTCACTTAAATACCAAACCGATGAACTCAGCTGGACCAGCAAGCTCATCTCAGGGTCTTTCACTTATTTTTTACAGTCGACAACTGCATCAGGTTATATGAAGCATACAAGATGCACACTGTTATTGCAATTGATTGTTGTTGCTGCAACTGATGGTCATCGAACCCAACTGCCATCAACTAATTTGGTTCAGGGGGAGACAAAAGGTGAGGGAGGGGGAGACAGAAGGTGAGGGAAGACAGGAAAGAGTGTAAGACCAGTTTGATTCATCATTTGTTTCTGAATATCACGATTTTTACTCTTTTCTAAACTTATTGATTTTGTTCTTTGTGCTTTTTTAAGTTTTGAACACCAGCTGCTCGACAAAACTCCTCAACGAAAAATCTGGTCAAGAGTGTGTTTGTACTTGGAAACTGATGGTGATCGAACCCAACTGCCATCAACTAATTTGGTTCAGGGGGAGACAGAAGGTGAGGGAAGACAGGAAAGAGTGTAAGAGCAGTTTGATTCCATCATTTGTTTCTGAATTTCACGATTTTTACTGTTTTCTAAACTTATTGATTCTGTTCTTTGTGCTTTTTTAAGTTTTGAACACCAGCTGCTCGACAAAACTCCTCAACGAAAAATCTGGACAAGAGTGTGTTTGTACTTGGAAAAGTGTATCATCGATCTCTTCTACCTAGATTAAACTTATATTTCTTACAACATGGTAAATACATTGGCACTTTTGTAGAATAACCCAATTATGTTTTTGCTTCATTAGGCAAACACTCGGACATATGGTAGGGGTTCATTTTGATATCAGGTTGTTCAAGACCAATGGCTGACAGAGTTTTAGAGGTTAGTTCGATGACCATTAGTGTCTCGATCCCTCTAATCCCTAGATTTGTAATCATGATAACTTACATCTCGATTATGTGAATCATACTACAAACTCTACAAGTTTGATTTACTACAAGTTTTGTAGCTGATTCGTTTCAATTGCATTGCTTTTACTTCTTTCTAGGCACACTCCATCGTTATGGATTCAACTTCACCCAGTCAAGTATACTTATAGTTGTTGTTGATTTCATATTTCACAGATTTTTTGTTTGTTTCGTTTCGTTGCAGGTTTAATGAAGATTTCAACACTTAAAACTTCTGTTTGTAAGTTTTTTTTTTTGAATATTCTTTTGCGCTTTTTATTTATTATTGTTCTATAGTTGTAAATTTTGTTCTCTAATAGCAAATTACCTTTCAGTAAACCCAGACAACAAAGCTTACTTCAAATCAAGATTTAGAGTGGTATCAGCCACTTGGTCAGGTGTGTGGAATCTGTCGTATATGAGACTAGAGGAAGGGAAACAATAGCCAGTACTCTGTAGGAGATTATGCGGGTTCGATTTCATTTCCAGGAAGAGGAGTAAAACATTTGAGAACAAATTGATGTCAAAATGACATTATGTGATAAAATTGTTGCTAGCAAAATCTGTTGCTGTCAAGTTGTACGAATTTTTACTGTTGTCCGTATGAAATATGTTATATTGATGGTTCTATGTTGTTTGCAGATGGATGCAATCAACGTTGACTATCAGTATGACCGGAATTATATTGAAGGTGCAAAGAGTGGTAGAAGATCATTTGTAAAGCAGCAAAGTAAAATAAAATTGACTCAAGCAACATACTTTACTGTAGCTACCAATTAGAACAATGTACTATACTTCCAATCAAAAGTGACACCTTCCGACCCCCGCAACGCGGGGGTCACCTTTCTAGTTTTAATTAAATGTTAAAAACATTAATGGTGAATGGGTTAACCCATTTCCGGCACAAAAGCAATTGTTTACCAAGCCTGCCAAAGCCTTGCCAAAAGGAAGTGTAGAATAGACAATGAATGATAGAAAGGAAGGACAACCGAATAGAAAAGTAACGGTTTCTTATTCATGCACTTTAAAATGAGATTTGACTCGACACAAGCTCTAATATTATATTAAGTATAATATTATATTGAATAGGTCAATACATTATAATGCAAAGCCCTTCCCTTCTTATAAATAGTAGCTCCCCTTATCACTCCAGATAAATGTTATTTACTCACTTGAACCTTCTGTGGAGATATCTTTGTTGTCTCTACACACTTGGCTCCATCCCAATAAATGTCTTAATCAACCAAATTCTAAAAACAAAACGAAGTGATATTTTGGAGAAGCCCATTTTAGTTGATAATGGGCATGGCTCTCTTGTAATTTGTGAAGCCCGATAAATATTCAACAAGACTTCTTATACAATTTGTTATTGGATTTGGGACTTTGGGTGTCCAAATAAATGCACGTATAATAAACAAATCAGATTTAATGTTAAAATATTATGTTGGGTGTCTCGAAGTTAAACTAGTTATTCTGGAAAGATTTTAGAACTGTTGTTTTGTAATTCATCAATGTAATATTGTTTTTTATATCTAATGGAGAAAATGTTTTTTTTTCTAATTTCATTAATAATAGAATGATAAATACAGATATGTCAATGTTTTTAGATGACACCGATTATTTTTTCAAACAAGTTTCTATTAAAATGTAACAAAGAGCTAGAAAAAAAAAAGTAAAACTTCAGCCAATTAACCCAATTTACATAAGGATTTTTAATTTATTTTTAATGGTTTTCTTCAGCTATTTATATCTTGATATCTTTGTTTTGTTATTTTAGGTTTCTTAAGAAGGATTTTTAATTTATTTTTAATGGTTTTCTTCTTTGAAAAGGTAGAGTTAAGAGTGTTGATTTGTTTATAATTAAAATATGGCTTTGTGTGTATGGTTGTAGCTGTTGGAGTTCACTATCATATGTATAATGTCCTTCGTTATTATTCGGATACGACATTACGAGTAGCGGAAGATTGTTGCACCTTAATCACATTTGAGTTATCTTCACATAAAAGCTAATGTTAAGTTATTATTCCTATGTTTGAGTTTGAACATATTTTTGTCAATGGAAATTTAATTATCATATGATTCTAATGGATGTCATTTATGAGTATTGTTAAATTGATATAATTTTTAGTAAATGATTAAAATAATAATTTGGATAAATATAATATTTTAAATGTTTATGAAGGGTATAACTGATAAAAATTAGGATTTAAATAATTAAAAAAATTTAAAAATAAAGCTTTAGCAAATATGATATTTTGAAAGTTTATAACGGGTAAATATAATAGTAAATATGATATTTTGATTTCATGATCATTAATCTATCATATGATGGTGTTATTCATCATCATATATCACTTAAGGAACCCCAATTATGTGTGGATGAGACATCTTCTATAATCTGGTATGCGTTTTTAGTTTGTATTAATAAGTAAGTGCATTATTCATTAGGATAACTTTTATAAATTGTATTTTTATAACAAATTTTTATTGTAAGCTCCAACTGGAGAGTTCTTTATTCCATAACAAAATGCAAAACTTTCATCAGTCCATCATTGTAACACCAGACAAAATTAAGTCAAAGATAATTTCCATAAATATAAAAAAACACATATTGTAATAATTTATTTTAATCTTTAATGACATTTTCATTCAACACTATAAGTCTATACGATTCCAAAAATATATATATAGAACATCTAAATCTCACTTCGCATAAAGAAATTATGATAAATTCTAACACTATAGCCTCTATAACAAGAGGAATTTAAAATAGACTTAAAATTAGCTATTGGAATCTAAAATAAAGAACGTTAAAAACGGAGCTCGTATGCAAAAGTTATGATCTTCCGAAGATATAGTTGTCTGAGAGCATGACACGTGGCAGAAACCCTAGCCGCCTTGGTTCACGACGTGAACATTAAGTCCACGACGTGAAAGTAGCAAGGACACTAATCGAGGCTAGAAAACACGCGGTAAGGCTACCATATGACTCATGGAAGTTCACGACGTGAACATAGGTATGTCACGACGTGAATGGGCCTAGAACACCCTATAAATAGGAAGTGAGACCCTTTCCCTTATTACCCAAAACCTTCTTTCCCTCTCTCGTTTGCTGAAGGCATTCCTTGTCCCGAGCCCGAAGATCACGAACCGCTAACCGTTTCTAGTTAAATTCTATAAAATCACTCTACTAAGGTGAGTTTCATGACCCCACTTTTTAATGTTTTCGGGGGGAAAATGCATGCTAAATATTGTATATAAGTTAATATTAAGTTTATATGATAGTATATTCGTATCAACATAAATAGTTATATTAACCGATATATAGTTGTTTTGTATCATATATACCTACGATATATATGATATATTGAAAACATACAACTATCTTAAACTTGTTAGCTAGTTGTTATCATAAATGTTACTAATATAGTGTTGGAGTTATACTCGAGAATTCTATATACTAAATTGTGTTATAGCCCCAGAGTTGTGATGGGTTTTGAGTACTACAACATTCATATGGTGTACATGTAACCCTAATGCTTTGGATCTAGGTTTTTCTCAAGTTATACATGCAAATAATCATCCAAAGCATAAACCCTAATACTAGCATACACAATTTCGAAATTCATATGTAAAATAGGGTTTGGAACATTACCTCACTTGTTATGTAGCAATAAGAAGAACTCCTTGACCTTTGAAATCTTAGTGCCCCAAGTGTTGCACCTCTAATGGAGTCACAAACACTCTTGCAAAGGAAGTCTTGGAGAGGGATGGAATTTCGACCAGTATCTCTTAGAAACTCATGGGGGCGAAATCCATAGGGTAAGGGGCTTTATATAGTTGGGGCCATTAGGGTTTTCAGGAGGAAACCCTAATTTCCTTGTTTAGGCCTTAAGCAGTCCATGTACCTCCTTAATCAGAAGCTTTGGACGAATTATATAGGGCCTCATATAGATTTCGTCCAGTCCATTTCGTCCAGTCCTCCCAAAGAAGTCCATTAGCCCAACTTTGCAACTATCAGTGATTTGCAAAACCAGTCCCTCCATTATTAATCAGTTCCTTTAATCCCAAAATTAATACTATATTAATTTTTTATTAATTACTAATTAATTATATGATTTCCAAATAATATATTAATCCCATAACATATTAATAAAATCATTTTGAGTACCCATTTATTATTCATATAATAAATCCTACTCTCTCTCCACTTGTCATCCTATCAAGTTGCATGAGTGAAGGCAACCCAAAAGGACCATGCTACTATCGGGTCAAGTACATACCAATTATAGTTATCGGCTTAGACACCTAATCCAACAATCTCCCACTTGAATAAGTCTAATAACTATAACTGCAAGTACGACTTCAAAATCCGATTAGCAATCGTAGCTCTCAAAAGTCGTTGTCGAACTCTGATCTCATCACTAACGCGTCCTTTAGATAAGGGATCAAATATTCCTCCATTCTGTAAGATATCGTATGGACTGAGACATGAATTATAACCATTCTCTCTGTCCATGTGTTGTTTCCCGATTTCCGATTTATGACGACTGACAACATACTACAATTGAACACATCAACTTAGTCCAGGCTTGGCTGCGCTTAGGTTTATCATCACTAAATCATCGAGGGGCCCACATATATCGCTTTTATCCCACATTGGGTAAAAGGAACGGATCAACTTCGACTCATATGCTTTCTCAATTTACTCATCAAATCACACACAACAATACGTTTTATAACACCAAGTTACTGGTGCGTTTAAATATCATCAATGTGCAACCGACTTGTAAACTACAACTCATATGTCTCTGTTTCAAGAATATATGATATTTTTATCTCATAATCACTCGTGATGAAATCCATGAAGTGATTCACGTGAGTGTGGGTTTAATCCAATACTCAAATCTTATTTCAGGAGCACTCATGAACACTGCAGCAAACTTGTGCTATGTCTAAACACTTAGACAATCTACAGTCGGATTCATGACAGTCTTACCTCATTACTTACTTCCAAAGTATGATTGACTATGGATGTTTGAATAACCTAGTTATTCGGGAAGTAAAACATGCAAAGTGAAACACAAGAATAAACTAATCAACTATGGTCTCAAAACTTTTGAATATAAATAAAACACTTATTATTTAATTACCATATTAATTTAACTTATTCATTGTATACTGTTTCGAATAATCAACTTAATACTTGAATTAAAACAACAGTTATCCCATGATCCAAGCATGCACAATATGTTTATCTATGGTCCTTTCTCTGTGAAATAGATCAATTGAACACATTTCCAATGATGCTCATTTCACAATTCCAAATCCTTATCATAAGTGTAAGAATACCAAATTCTTCCAATATTAGAATGTGTTAGATTCTAAGCTATCATGCAATGATCATTTTGTAATGTCTAGGCACCAAAGTCACAGAGACTTTGCCAATTACAAAACATTCCACTGGAGATTGTTACAATACAATTCCATAGATACGAAGTCTCATATTCAAAGTACATTCCTTTGAACATCCTTCTTGCATAAAAGCTTCTACACATAGATTCTTAATATACAACTCCCATTATGGAAATATCTCCATATTTTCCATATGACAATTCATTCTTAATAGAATCCCATTTATTCATGATTATGTCAATATGGTCCATCCATTATTATACTTCCAACTGCCCACAAGCGACCAATCCTTAGCGAACCTTAGATCGTCCTTGATAGTTGTTTAATTACTTTAGTCATATCCGGTTCTGGTCCTTTTTCCCTCTTAATGCCCTAGGCATTTGGAAAATCAGAACAAACGAATATTATAATATATGCAATCAATCCTATACCCGAAGCATA